AAAAAAAAAAAAAAAAAAAAAAAATGAAAATTATCGTAAATATCATCGTAAATGTATTTCGTATGAAGATAGTATTATTTACGTACGATAATCTTTGCCGTGTTTTACGTGAATATTTTCCAAATAACGAATAAATTAATGTTAATTTAATATGCAATTTTTTATGTTCCTTCTGTCTTCGGTTATTGTCATGTTTTATTATCGATTGAAAGAATTTGTTTATAACGTCGTATATATGATGATTCGAGCAGTTGGAACGGATCCTATTTTTTTTTTCTGATTGCGATTGGAAAAAAGTGTTGGACATGAATGGTTCGAAGAAGATTAAATTTTAAATCCTTTTTTTTTCTTTCTAATGGGAATGTATGTATGTATATATCGTTGATATGCGATTGAAATGCAATTAAAGTATTTTGAAGAAATATATTTGTTGAAAATAAGTATTTTCGTTCAATCTTGAATCTCTAGAATTTTTCTTGATGAAGTTGTTTAAAATATAATTGTTTAAAATATTCACGTATTTTAAATTCTATGGAAATTGATAATTAAAAAAAAATGATAATTAAAAATCAAATTAATTTATCATTAATAAAAGAAAACGTTTTTTAGAAAATATTCTTCAAAATATTTCGTAAATTTTCACTTTTTGATCACTTATAAAAAAAACGTTTGTATATTTTCATTAAAATAAAAAATATTGCAATTTGCAAATATAATTTTTTCGAACCGTGTCATCATTTTTCTGCTCAAAATTTTTTTTTTCGATTCCAATCGAAAAAAAATTATGATGATCATGTTCCAATTAAATCACTTGTACGTATAACATGTGAATTAATACTTAAGTAGAAACTGTGTATAGTAAAATTCGTAGCTAGCTATGTTTATTTCGATATTTTTTACATACATAATTCGATCAAATTATTTTATACATGCATGAGAAACACCGAAAATACATTAAAGGCAAACATTTAATTGTTAATAAACAAGTATGATATTGTAACAAAATTTAAAGGAACATATTTTTTAATTTTGTTTCAGACTTCATAAAAACCGAATATAAAGAAGAATTTATCATTAAAACTGACGAAACGTTTATAATAGACGACCATAATTACGAATATAAGGAAGAAACTTATAATTGCGAACCGAAAGTGTACAGCCTTCGGAAAAGAGAATACGAGAATACCGAAAAATTCTATGAGGATATTTTTTATACCTGTGATATGTGTTACAAACAGTTTAGATGTTTCCGCACGTTAAAGTCTCATAAAACGAACGATTGTGGGAAAACGTATTATTGCCCGAAATGTTACAAACCTTTCACATATCGTGCTAGTTTTTGTCGACACAAGAAACGTTGCATGAATTCGTAAGATAAGCTCGAGTTGTATACATTGGAAACGCGATATTTTAAAGAAGAAATTTGAAAATAAATAAATAAATAAAAAATCATGTGATTAAAGAAGAAAAGAAAGAAAGAAAGAACAGCATGATATAAACAAAAAAGAGAAAATTAAAGAGAGAAAAGGAAGGAAATTTCTGCGAACGACTCATTGTTCTAAGAGATCGGAAGAAATGATAAAACGATATGAATTTACGAATCGAACGATAGTCAAGGTACACTTGACATGGTTTTATTCAACCGCTTGATTCCTTATCTTTTAGATGCCTTCGAATTTGAACGTTTCGTTATTAAACTTCTTCTGATATAGATCAAGCAAAGTTATTTAATTTTTCTTGGCAGTGTTCACGATACTATTTATACTTCTCCAAGCATTTTATGCGTCGCATATACAAGAAATGCGAGAAACTATAAGAAGAACGAATGAATATTGTTATTGAATGCATTATTAAAGAATTTTTTATGTATATATTTTTATGTACATATGTAATACATATATATATATATATATGTATTATCAAAATAATGAAAGAGATAGAGTTTCAAGTTTCGTGCGGATCACTTCTCGCACGAAAGCTTAATTAAATTTTTTTTTTTTTTTTTAATTTTGGCCCTTTTTTTTTTTTTTTTTTTTTTACTTTTTTATTTTTCCTTCTTACATATACATTTTTCATCATCTTTTTATACCCACGCAATCCTGTACGTAACAATTATATACACATACATACCGAATAATATATTAGTTCATAATATTATTAATCGAATTGTATTTTTGTTCTTTCGGCGCGTAAAATTTTATTTTCTTCTCTTCTCGACATGGTTATGATAAATTCGATGATTTTTGACAGATGATTTTTGATGATTCGGATGATTCTCGAGACAGATTTCGCTTCGGAATTGATCGCAACGCGACTAAATGTCAAAATCGAATAAAACTTGTTGTCCAAGGTAATGGATGAAGCGCATAGAACGTTGCATTCATCGATGATTATTATTATTCGGGGGAATGTTGTTTGAAATTTCGTTTTTGTTACGTCACGTATTGCTGTCGTGCATTTAATGCAGAGTGTTGTCGATCTGTGGTGTTTCAGGAAATTTGATAGAGTACCTGGATGTTCGGAACATTTGAAACGTTTGAACGTTTGAAAGCACGTGTGCGAATATTGTTACAAGCCGTTCACGCAATTGATATTTCTGAACAAGCATCGTAATAATTATTGCTATTTCAATCCACGATCGATATTTTACAAGACGAAGGCTTTCAGACCGTACATTTGTGTGATACGCGGGGCTAATTACAGTAAACAATCATCGTTGAAATCGCATATACGTTTCGATTGCGGCAAGACCTAGAAATGCGATTGCTGCGGCAAAACATTTTTGCACAGCAGCAGCCTACTAAAAACACAAATTACAATCTTGTGGCGAAAAGGCGAAATAAT